GACTTCTCTGGTGTAGATGTGCAAGTAGACGATGCCTTGAGGCAAGTGGTGTCCTACATAACCACCGAGTTCTACAACCTCAACCTCCTCAACCACATTTTAGGGATTTGTGAGACTATGAAGAGTAAAGCATCCGTGTTGAACTTTGTTACTTTATCTTCAGTAGTCCAAAGTGATTTTTTTTTTTTAATTCCCTCAGTGTTTTTCTTCACACCAGTATATACAATATGAGAATCAGTAAGTGAAATGCAGAGTGTGACTCGCAGATGGGTGTGATGTGTGGTCACACCAAGATGCTGTAACAGTGTGTGTTTGTGGAGAGGGTAACAAATCAAAGAGATATCTATTCTGGTGATTTAGGACAGTGGAAGAAGTTGGACCCTAAGGAAATGTACAGCATTGTAATTAACCTGTAGTTTTGATTAAGGAGAATTTACTAAGTTTGTCTACTGATGATTAATTACAGAGTTTTTGTCATTGTGCTTATACAGCTGTAAGCAAACATCTGTTTCAAACTAATAAGTTAAAAAGCAGCAACATAAATTTGAATATGTAAATCTCAGAGGTCAGTGGAAATGTGGCTTAACTTTTAGGCATATCCAGGCTTCTTGGATTTAAGCGTGTCTAGTTACAAGACAGAGTTTCACCCTGAAGCTGTGGAGTTAAGGCTTTAATTCTTGAGCAATACATTTTCTAGAAGCCTATCTACACATGCAGATTCCAAGCATTTAGTCTTACAAAGAAGGATATTATGTATAGCAGTAGAGCAGTATTTACACATACACAGAAAAATGGGAATGTCATTGCATTGAGGAGAAGTATCCAAGGAAATGGTGGTTTCCTGCTCTCTGGCAGTTAGCTTGCTAGCACAGGACACCTTGGCCAAGACTTCTGGTAAGCTCTTCTCTTGTGTCTGTCTAGTTTAAAATGTAATCTGAAAAGCCTAATCTGTTACTGCAAATAGAACAGTCCAAGTGAACATCTGCTGATACAGAAAAAATTTCAGTAATTTGTCTATCTGCCTCTGTTTGCAAAAGAGACTGTAACAGCGTATTACTGTCTTCCAGTAACTGAAAGTGATGGAAGGAGTTCTGGGTAAGGTCCTTTCTTTGAGCCAGCAGTTGTTGAGTCAGTGCTGTTGAACTCTGCTTCTTCCAAGACAGAGATAGCCAAGTATTTGTCAAAGAAAACAAAGATGATCAAAGTAGTATTTCTTGTAGTAGGACACAGATGGTAAACTGGTTTCATTGCTGCCCAGCAATATTACTGCCATAAAACATCAGCTCACGGTATTTTACTAGGAACACTTTCAAAAGTGTATGTTTGGGGAAGGCAGTGGGACAGCTTCACCAAACATTCTAGGTGATAAATTGCCTGATGTTAGATGAAATCAGAAAAGACGTAAAATACTGAAGATGTGAATACGAAAAGACGTGAAAAAGAATGAAGTTTTTCAAGTTCCATGTGCATTTTACTGTGTGCCAGTTTGACTTCTTCCTGTGTTGATTGCTTTGCAGTGTGCGACTGAAGAGTGATACTGAATGCCTCAGGAGGAGGTGTTTCATCTGTGAAAACAAAGTTCATTGCCTTGAGGTGGAGGGTTTTTTTAATTACCTGCTGTACCATCATATAATTTTTTTTCTGAAAATGCTAGAAATAAGCAATACTTTTCTTGAAAAATATTTAAGGGGCTCCCCAACAACTCTTGAAGGTATTTTATTCTATTTGGATCTTTTATTTTGTGATAGTCTTTATGTGGACTCTGCCCTAAAGGATCTTTCACTTTCTGTAGAAGCGCTGTTGGCTGATTTCTGGTATAGTGATTAAATCTTTCACAGAACATCTTATGGCTGAGAACTGCTGATGTCGTGGCTATCACTAAATGGTCGATATGGAAATTAAGTAGGAAGGCATTCATTGTTAATACTGCATTCCCATTATTTGCACTTCCATGATGGAAATGTGCTTGTTTTCTCCAGGCACATAAAGTTGTGTGACTTTGGTGATGAGGATATTTCTCTGCAGGTAGTCTGTGTGTTCTGCTAAGTCTCCAGCCATTACAGTATGCTTTATGCAGTTCTATGCCACTGTTATTCTGTGTCCCAGTCACTGCACTCCTTTGTGGTGCTATGCCGTGATGGATTTGTAAGAGGTTTTACCTCATGTATGGCCTGTCTCTGCCCAGGCGCTTTGCATTATGTTTCTTCTCCTTTAGTTTGAGTGGGAAATTTCTTTTGAGATGTTGAAAAATTGTGTGTAGAAGCATGGGTTGTATGTATCTGCTTTTTGAAGTGGTTTCCATGCAATCTCTTTGACATGGCAGAACATTAGAATTTGGTTTGTTTTCAGTTGAAGAGAAGCTAAATACCAGAATTCTTAATCTAGCTATATATATAGCTGCATTTTGCTTATTCTACTAAACATTGAAATGCCATCCATAATACGCTGTGATAATAGCAAGTTGAGCTGATGCTTCAAATTTAAGGTTGGGTAGTGATATAATTCCAATGTAATGCTTCTCATTAAATTTTTTTTTTTTTTTTTTAAGGCAGCTGGGAAGGCTTCAGTCCATATCAGAGCTGGTTGCCAAGTATCTTGAAGAAATATTTAGGCCTTAGTTTACTACCCACTAAAGGTTGGATAGGTAGAAGTTGTGTAGCACTGCTTCAGTACAGAGGCAGGTTATCTACACTGAGCCTGATGGGGGAGAAAGGATTTCAGAAATAAAACTGAAGACCTGGAAAAGGACTTGCTGCTTAAGGGAGATTTAAGTTGATGTAGCAAAAAGAGAAGACAGGAGTGTTCTCATTGTGCAGCTGACAGTTATTTGTAATAGAAAGAAACTTAAATAGGTTTGGACATAGAGGGAACTTGAACCTAAAAAAAAAAATATATCAAAAAGCTGTCCAAACAATGCTCAGAAAGACTTCTGAAACTGCCTGTATAATGTCCAAGGCACAGTTCTTGATAGCTGTGAGCAGCTAGCTTCTGCAGTAGCGGTGCACTGGGAAGAATAAGTTTTTTGATGAAGAGCTTTAAGTGTAAAGTGTAAATGCAAACAAAGCACCTTTTGTACTCATCATAAAGTAGTATTGTGTGGCAGCATAATTTCTTTTATAATTCAGAATTGATTGGTGCTCAGTGAGGTCTGGAGAGTGTACCCTTTTGCTGTGGATACATGCACTTAATACGTGCAATAATGTCTCCATTCATTGGAGTGGAAGCAGTACTGAAAACTGCAGCTAAACTTGCTGTCTCTAGCAGCGGTGGCTTGACTGATTGCTGAAAGTTAGAGCATGTGACTTGAATAGAGGTTTGGCAACACATGGGGAAATGGTTGTCTGCTTTGGAGTATGACAAGAGGCAATATTTACCCTGCTCTGTTTCTCCTTTTTCCAAGCAAAAGGCAGGTTGCCAAGTACAGGGGCTGAACGTTGGGGGCGTTTTGCCTCCACTTGGGTAAAAGAGATGTGCCGATAGCTCTGGAAATCATGAAGTTGCACTTAGTAGTAATGCAAGCTAGGTGGCTCGTTCCACGCGTATATCTTTGTTTACCCATCTTCTCCAGACCTCAGCCTTGTTCCTGTTTATATTATTCTTTTCTTTCAGTTGACAAACTTTCTTGGGCTCCTAAAACCAAAATTTTCTCATGTTAGATTCGTAATATTTCTGCATGTCTGGAACTTCCAGTGTAGACATGGCAGAACTGCAGATGCATCCCTGATGGGTGTGGATACAAATATGTGCTTCTGGACACGTAGTAAATACATCTCAGTTGTTACTGTTTGTGCAGTTTCAGGATTAAATTAGGATAAATTCTCCCCTTAGTGCTATGGAGAAATGAACATCTTGTACAAGTGTTCAGAAAGTTCAGCTAATGGAATACAGTCATTGTTTTGGCAACTCTGGTATTCAATTTTAGGTTTTCAGCCACACAAAGCTCGCTTTGGAAAAGTTCTAAGATGTTGGATCTTCGTTATTTACCATCTAGTTTCTATGTAGTGTATTTTTCAAATTCTTCTGTGGCTGTTTGGGGTGAGTTAAGTGAAATTCTTTCATAATTGTTCCATTCAGAGTTACTTACTTGTAAAAATGTCCCATAGTGAAACTTAAGTTAAAGCCCTTTATCATTTAAGGTCTTCTAAGTCTCAACTGTTTGATGGTAAGAATGTTGGTATGTTGACAGCCTTTTCCAAGATCTTGCCTTGCATTGAAAACCCTCACCTTAAACGAAAATAACAAGCCTTTCAGTTTGCTATTAAATCTTGAAGCCATCTTTCTGAATGTATCCATTAGCTGAATCTCCTTTGTTATTCTGATAGAGCACTTCAATATGGAGGGGAATCTTTTTGTTGAGCTAATCAAGCTTGGTATCTTAATTATTGAAACATTCTAGGAGGATGTTCTGTGATAATATGGGACATCTCCAGAGATAATTAAATCTTTACTGTTTCATCATGCCACAAATATTTATTCTGATATTTGAAGACCCTTTCTTTCCTCTCTAGGTACTCCAATATGACTAGTGGCTTTCGTGCAGTCTTATAACGTCATGTAAATCAGGATAAATTTCTTTTAAGTTTTGTAGTAAGAAGTAGAAGTCAGAGAGTTTTCATCTAATAGTTTCCATGGCTTTCTTCAAGAATTAAGTACTTTGGAGTAAGGATATGGATGTTTCTGAGAGAAAGTTTCCTTCCTCTATCAAAAAGAACCGTGACTGGGAAAGGTAGGGGTGGGAATGGAAAGCACAAGCAAGTTCTATTTTTTCCATTATATAAAACGCAAGTATCCAGTTTCCTGAGATGCTACACTGATGTATTTTTGAATTGCTTCCTCTGTGGCCTAATGTTATTCTGGATCATCTTGTTAATTAAAAAAAACTTTGCAACTTGTGATTTCTGTTTGCTGTGGTTTTAAGCAGTCTGTGATCATAAATATGCAGAAACTGTGTAGCTTTTAAAGCTATTATGCTTCTTACCTTCCTATTCTTTTTCCTACAGTACTTGGGACACGTGGAAGTGGATGAATCCAGAGGAATGCATATCTGTGAAGATGCTGTGAAGAGACTGAAATCTGTATGTATACTTGTTTCTTGAAAAAGCTGGCTTTGGGGTTTTGAGTGTCTAAAAGGTCCATTCGGCAGCAGTGCTCCAGCTGAAGCCTGAACTTTTGACCCACTTTAGGAGAACAGTTGGCTGGTGTGAGAGCACTGCTGTGGTTAGGGGGACGTGCTAATCTGATGATGAGAGGGAGAGTTACAACTGTTCTTTCTACTGGCAGAAACTATTTGCAAAACAAATGTGTAAAAATCCTCTGTGACCTTTCAGACTAAGTTGGTACCCATATGGGATTCAACCGTTGTTTTTTAACAGGTCTTTCTCCCTCTCTCTTTTTCTCTCTCTCCCTCTCTCTCTCTCCCTCTCCCTTTGTTGCCTGCCACTTCAAAAGTGACTTAATTCACCTCTATTATACGAAATATTATTTGATTTAGGCTGCTTTTTTTTTCTAATGCACTGCAACATTGTAGTCATGCATGAAATAATCTGGCTTGCATCCGCTCGAAGTGGCCTGCCTGAAGGCTGCCTAATTCTGGTATGTCATGAAGTGGGCTGCTCTTAGTTTGGCTTCTGTGAACGTTTGCTCCTGTAAATGGCAATCGTTCAAAGCTCTTGGTATTCCTACAGCTCATTTCAAGGTCTTGTCATCTCTTCCCTGTAGAAAGTCAGTGGTCAATTTATTAAGAATCTGAAGCTAGAACAGCACTGAAGAGGAGGAAGAGAGGATGTTAGAATTTGAAGTCTGATTGAAAATGGAGAACTGCTGTCCTTTTCATCGCTTCTCTTGTGTCCTAGCTATATAGAGTCTTCAGTGATGCCTTTACCAGAGAAATTCTTGTATCCTTCTAGCTCAGCCAAAATTACTGGAAGTAAATCAAACATTTCTACTGCATCTTTGCTAACTTAAGATATCTTTGACTGGATGTGACTTTTTTTTTTTTTTCTCCTCACCAAATGTGAGAACTCAAATGTATTCTGAATAAACCTGCTCTTCCTAGCACATAACAGAAGACTATAGGTTATCTTCCTTCTGTTGTGTTGTAAAGTTTCTGAATTGCTTTACTGCTCTGATTAAAATCAAGTCTTTTCTTTTCTCTCTCAGCCAGTGTCTAGCAACCTGTTCAAGCCGCATCCCATCTGTTCCCATTCAGTCCAGCAGTGATTGGTGACTGATTTTTATTAAAAAGAACCACACAGAATGTAAATTAGTTTTTGTTCTGTGGATTTAGTTTATGTAGCTAAAAATGCAAGTACTGACCACATAATGAGTTGCATCCATTTTTGTCCTGTTCTTGTTTTCACTGTATCAGGATACTTTCTGTTAGCACACTGAATAATGTTCCAGTATCTCCTTTTTGCAGCTTCTCTCATCTCCTTCTCTGGGGAGCTGTGCTGTGAAGTATTTGCTCTCTAGGTCTTTTTATAAACTTTCAGTCCACAAACCAATTAATTGTAGCTAAGCTTATAAATAATGAGGCACAGTAAAAACATAGCACCCAGTTTCTTCTGGAATCCAGATAATGCTAGGGTTGTGATTCTTGATCATCTGAATTACTGATTCACATGTAAGCATCTAAGTCTTACAGCATGTTCCCTTGAAATAACTAACTTGATTTCTCTGTTCTGTGCTTTATGATTATTCTGAGTGGCATCAACTTATTGCCCATTCTCATAAAAGCACTGCTTTTATTCAGATAATTTTTATTTCCTTTGCTGTTTGAAGTTTTTTATGTTTATGTGCAAGTGGGACACAGGTGTGTGTCTTAGGATTTCTGCTTGCATTGTCTCATTTGTCAATGCTGGCAGTAGAGAAGCGGATGTGGAATTCTCATTGGGCCCCAAGAGGAATATTCAGATTACTGAAACTGCTTTGTGCACTTGAGCTGTTAGGCTCCATCAGACTCAAGCTTCATCTGAAGCTGCTCATTGCGATTCAAACTGTGCCCCCATTCTCAGATCCCCACCCTGTGTGTGTGGGTTTTAAACTGGGAGCATTTCTTTAGGATTCTTCCATTGCTGAGAGCTCTTTTCTGTACAGTACAGTCTCTTAACAAGGAAAAGCCATACCTCTCCATGTTGTCTCAGCATGTAGGCAATGTGAGAAGAAAGCAATTTGCTCCTTTGGTAGTCTTTTCCTTTTACAGTGTTTGGGTTATTTCAATGGGCTTTCTCTTGGTCTTGAAAGAACCTCATGTTTGAGGTGCAGTCCTCAAATGGAAAGATGAGCTTCACAAAATTTGAACTTCATTTTTCATATAGTTAAACTACATATGAGCATATATGACCTATTTTAATCTTTGTTTTCTTTGCAGACATTGTATAGTTCTTATGAATCCAGTCTATGAGAAACAGTTCAGTTCTCTTAGAAACAGAATTGTTGACATACTTGTAATTTCTAAAACTAAGTTCTTCTCTGTCTTATTTCAATAGACATATTTTCCTCTTAATTCTTATTCTCCAACAGTTGGCTATTTATTTGGGGAACTGAAATATGTTCTTTGTTTTTAGGGTTGACTATTGGACTTTAAAACCTTTTAAGATTTGTCAAGAAGAATACAAAACTTGATCTTCATTTTAGGAATATCTTAATTTCTGCTTTAGAAAGAAAAGATGCAGTCAAATTCTTTTACCTTTTTATTGTGGAGAAGTATCCTTCCAGGTCCTTTATTATGTGCTGGTTGAATATGCCACAATCATTTTTGAGCACATCTTGCAGAACTTAAACCCGATGATGGTAAATCTTTTGTTCAGGGACTGTTTAATTGACAGCTGAGTAAAAGAAGCCATTTTTAGCAGAGAGCCCTTCTCAAGCTCTGGGGCTGCATACCAACCCGATCAACGCTATAATGTGCAGGTTACAATTTTTCTTGTGATGAATGAAGAGAAACTGGTGTCCCTATTTTCTGTCTGATGATATGGCACAGCAGTTTCATTGATAGATCTAAAACCTGTGTGTTCAGGTATCACTATCTGTTATTCAGGTGTTACCAAAGGAGCATACATTTTTCCCTTAGCAGGGATATATTACTAAATGCGGATCCTCAGATTTGGATACAAAGCATTGAAAGATTTCTCCAAAACCATTTTCACGAGTTAGTGGTGTTTAGTGCAGACTGGAAAACAGCTTTCTGAGGACCCTATGAGGTATCTTTGTAACCATATTGAAATCAGGTATGGGGATATGGTATAAAGACAAAATTACACTTTCATATCATGTTTTGATTTTTAAATCAGCTTCAGTGTGTAGTATTGGTTTCTAACTTGCCACTTCTTGTTTTAAATGATGCATTTGTTTTTAATATATGTTCTTGTTTTAGCAGGTAAAGAGACATAATTTAATATTTTAAAACATGCATTAGTTATCTCTAAACTACATTAACTTAGTGTTGTTTAAAATCCATTTTGCATGATGCCTTTCCATTAACATTTCTAGCTTATTAAAAAACATAGATCTTGTTTAACAAGCATTTTGCTGTGAGCAAAATTAACCATCACCTAAAATGAGGTAGCTTCTGGTGAATCTCTTTTAGCTTTTGCTATCTTTAAAAGGCTGTTATTTAGTGTAATGCAAGTCATTGCTCAACTTGGCAGCAGCATCCAGCCCCTTCTCATTATGTGCACAACGCTGTGATTAATCCATTAGTTCCCCTCCCAGTGTTCAGCATATCTTGTCCAAATACATGACCGTTCTTGCTGCTAAAAGCTATTAAGCCTTTCAGCTGTCTGTACGTAGAGATGTTCTTGTACAGCGCCTGGGTTGACACAAATATCTTACAGATACTTGTTGAAAAGCTCTGTGGAAGGACGTCGGGCAGAGAGAAGCACTCAGTAGCAAAAGTCAGGAAATGCAGAGTTGAGATTGACACTCCCTTCTTAGCTTTGTTTCCTGACTTTTGTTGGCTTGCGTCAGAAAAAAGCTTTGTTTTAAATATAACCTTGTATATCAATCAATTCTGGAGGCACTGCCTCAGGATATTTGTAATAATATTTTAATATAGCATTGTTATCAGTGCGATGGTAATTTCGGGTCAGCGGCTGTCAGAAACCCTTCCTTAGTCTCATGTGGATTCTCCATGATCTCCATGTTACTGCTGTACCAGTTTACTTGCGAGTTAAATAATTAGGAAAAATAGTGAGAGCAGGGATATGCTGCAGTGCCAGCTTCCTTCAGGTACTGAGATGTAGCTGCAGGACATCAGGGCCTGGGGAATATCCTCACGTCAGATCAGGCAGATCTTGCCGTTTCCTTTTAACAATCTGGTAACAAAACAAAGCCAGTAAAAATGACATGCAAGTATGCTTTAAATTGTGTTCTGCTTTAGTGTCATTGTGAATTGGGCAATCAGTATAATCACTTCCAAACTGAAGACGTTCAGGAACTTGTAGTTCAGCTTTTTGTGCCTCTGCCTTGGTCTAACTTCTCCCTCTCAGAGGTGGCTTTAAAAGGGGATCTTTTAATCAGAAGTTGTAGAATGAATATTTAGCAGTTGTGTATGGTGGAAGAGGAAGAGATCTCAATTGTGGTTTAGGTTAGGTCAGAGGAAATTCCTTACTGGCCAAAGAGGGTTGTATAAAAGGCAAAGTAAGAGTAGCACCTAAGCCAAAACAGTAAATAAAATAATAAAATGAATAAAAGAGTAAAATGAAGCACAAAAAATGTTTTTTAGCTTTTAATCCTGCATTATGCCAGCCACTGTATGTTCTCCAGCATATGGAGCACTTGCTTTGGGAAAAAACGGTCAATACAGAGAAAATTTGACTATAACACTAAAGTTAAATCTTTGCTTTTCGTGCCCATACAGTATTTTAATTGTTCAACCACCACGTCTGCTGCCAAGTTTGGTTTATAACCTAACTAAAGGGAACTAAACGAGGGAGAGTGACAATGAAGTAACCTCTTTGCATGAAATTGGGACCAAGGTTCTCTTCTTTCTACCAATTTCAGGGCAGTAGCTTATTAGAATTGTGTGTGCCCTTTGATCTGCATTTTCATGGGATTATTTTCACATTTGCCTGTCGCACCTTCTCGTGGATAACTCTAAAAACCCCTTCCTTTCCCTCCAAACCCTATTCTTGTGTGTGCTTGTTGGTTTGAAACCCTGGGATATTTTAGCTACCTTCAGTAATAGCGCTCGACTTGTCCCCCCTGTTCCTCCAGGAAAGGAAGTTCTTCAAAGGCTTCTTTGGAAAAGTAAGTTTAATGCCTCATTTGTGCTTGCACTATAAGGAGTTACATCCCTGGTATAGCACTGCTGTAAAATCAGGGTGTTGAGAATCCCTTGATCTCTTTCAGAAAACTTACTTCTAAAATCCATTTCTTCCCAGACTTGATCAAACTGATCAAATAAAGAATATGGTTAAAAAAGGGACCTGAAATAGAAACTGAACTCCATATGGACTGTATCAGAAATCCAGCGTTCTGAAATCATTGGTCTTCCTGAAATAAAAATGTGACTGTTTTTTCCTTTAAATCCCTTAAACTTGTGCCAGCCTACATCACCTAGGCAAACACCTATGGAACTGCTGGGGGTCTGTGCTTGTAAACACTGCTGGATTGTTGGCTGCCTAGCACCACAAGCTTGCCCAACTGTTAGTGTGGGGAGAAAGCAGCAAGTCTTACATGTACCATCTCCTAAACATTTCTTTTTTGAGTACGGTCTAAATTCAAAGGTACATGAAGAGGAGACCAGGCATTTACCTGCTATTTGTTTTTCTAATTGCAATTCTATTGTATAGGAGAAAGCTTTGCTGCCCACAGTTGCTCTGGTCTTCCTGAGGACAGTGTTGCAAAAGGAAGCAATTGTTTGTCCTTACTAAGAATGTGCTGTGCTGGAGACTGGATTGGGGTGGTTTGTTGTTTTTGTTTTTGTTTTTTAATTCTGTCTACATCTCCGTAGGACAGTGTTGGTCAACTTCCAAAAAAACTCTTTTGCCTCCCATCTGTTGACTGCTTCTGCATTTAGAATTCTTGTAAAGCACTTCCTATGGAATAAATTTAAGATACTGCTTTTCAGAGATCTTATTACATGCTGAATCTTGGTTTAAATAGAAACTAACAAGTTTGTAACTTGCATCGCAAAATCTTTCAGAGCAGATGATTTTCTGGTCACACATTTGTCTTGGCTTTACTTAAGGAGTAAATAAAGCTTTTTCAGCTGCACCTGTGTCACTTCACACTCACACTGTAGTGCATGTCATCGAGAAGCAGCTATTTCCCCAGTTCACCTTTCTTTCCATGATGTGGGAAAGCTCACCAGTGAAGTATAGTAATAGTGAAGAAAGAAGTTCTTTTTTCAGAATAAAAATGCTGTATGTAAAGGATCTGCCAGGTTAATCAAATCATTCCTATCCGTAAATGAATTAAAGGCTGGAATTTAGAAAGGTTGGAGTGAAACATGCTATTTGCTGTATAATACTCAAAGTAGTTGTTGGAATTTGTTTCAACCTTATAAAAATGAATGCTAGTTTTCTTTTATTGGTATTTACCTGTGTCTGTAGTAGCTGCACTCAGAATGAGGCACATTTGGAGTATTTATACACTAGTGCATGCAGCATGAAGAACAATCAAAAGAAGCTTGAGGCCCTTGGTCAGTCCTAGAACTACATCATCATTGGCATAAACAAAATCTGAGGGGGAAGGTCCTGAGATAGTGCATCACAATGAAGAAGTCTAGGCTGTTCAGCCAGGATAGGCAGGGCAGGTGGAGTGCTGGGAGGGAGGGAGGGGCTGGGCTGTGCAGAGCTCACAGCTGCCAGTGGCACAGTTGGGAGCCCTTGGGTAAGGGTGAGAAAGGACAAGCAAATAAAGGGAATGTTGTGGTGGAGTTGCTGTAGGCGTCCAGCCAAGATGATGACACCGCTGATTTATCCTTTGAGAAGCTGTGAGATACCTCTAGATATGCCACCCCTCTCCTTATGGATGACTTCAACTTGCCAGTTGTTAACTAATATATCACACAGCAGACACAACCAGGCCAGGCAATTCCTGAGATGCCTTGATAACATTTTAGTACAGGTACTAGGAGAATCAATCAGGAATAGTAATTGCTTGTAAACAGAGATGTTCTCATTGGTGAAATGCTGATTGGTGGCTATCTTGGCCATAGTGACCATGAAGTGGTCGCTAGTAGTCAAAAATACTTTGTGGTAAGAGTAAAATTTCAGGCTGTTCTGAGAGCTAGGTATTTAGTTTCCATGGGGTCTGCTTTTGAAGGCATTATGGTCCATCACAGCTGGTCACTTTTTAAACACAGCCTCTTTAAGAACACAGGAACAGGCAGTTCAAAAATGTCAGATGTGCAGATGAAGTAGAAGGTCAGCCTCACTCAGTAGAGATCTTCTAAAGCTTAGGTGGGGAAAATAACATGGGTACTAGCAAGCAAGGTCTAGTGACATGGGAGGACTACAGAGATGCTGTTCACTGTTGTAGGGAGAAAATTTACATTGTCAAAGCTCAGTTACAGTTGAAGGTGGACAGTACTGTGGTGGACAATAAAAAGGGCTTTTTAAAATATGTTAACAGCAAAAGGAGGATCAGCGATAACATTGGTCTGTTACTTGATAAGGATTGTCACCACACAGACAAAGGACGGATGTTTAATGCCTTTGTCTTCAGCATGGATGATGGACTCTGGGACACCCAGAGCCTTGAGTTGGAGAACTGTGACTGGTAACAACAAACTTGTGGCCAAATGCCATACTTGTGTAGGATTTGCTGCTCCGACTGGGTGCAGATAAGTCCATGGGGCCTGATGGAATGCATCCCCCCAGTACTGAAAGAGCTGGCTGATGTCAGCGTGAGATGTCTCAATTATTTTTCAATGGTGTTGGTAATCTGGAGAGGTCCAAGTCAACTGAAGGCTGACAAACAGTTGTCCCAGGTTTCAAAAAGCGCAAGAAAAGACCCTGGAAATTACAGACCTGTCAGTCTCACTTGAGTGCCTGGCAAAATGTTGGAGATAATTATTTGGGGGAGTTACTGAAAAACAGCTCAAGAACAGCGCAGCCATCGCTTACGGCTTACACGAATTCACGAAGGGAAAGTTCTGTGTAATGAACTCTAATCTCCTTATGACAACACTGCCCACTCGCTTGGCCAGAGGAAGCTAGTTGATGTAATATTTCTGGATTTCAGCAAAGCTTCTTGTTTCTCACAGTATCATTCTGGACAAAATGTCCAGCATACAGCTAGACAAAACATAATGCAATGGATGAAGTATTGGCTGACCAGTTGGATTCAGAGGGTCATTGTAAACAAAGTTGCATCAGGCTGTTAGCCAGTCAGTTGTGGAGTTCCTCAGGGCTTCATTTTAGGGCTGATTCTCTTTAATGTTTTTATCAATGAATATCTTTGGATATAGGATTTGAAGGTATACTAGGAAGGCTTGCAGATAGCAATAAACCGGGGAGAGCTGGTGGCTCCTTCAAGGGCAGAGAGATTTTGACGAATTAGAGGACTGAGCAATCACCAACCTTACAAAGTACAACAAGAGCAAGTGCTGGATTCTGCACCTGGGATGAGGCAACCCTGGCTATGTGTAGAAGTTAGCAGACTAGAGGCCGAAGAGTGGCCCTTCAGAAACGATCCTGTGGGTTCTGGCTGATGGCCAGAATGTGAGTCAGTAGCGTGCTCTGACAGCCAAAGATGGTGAAGGTTTTAGAGGGAAAGCTGTATGGGAGGTAGTTGACGTCCTTTGGTTTGCTCTTCCCAGAACAGAAAAGCTGAGGGGAGACCTCATGGCAGCCTACAGCTCCAAGCAGAAGGGCAGTGCTGAGCTCTGCTGTCTGGTGACAGTTGCAGGGCCTGAAGGAATGGCATGGAGCTGTGCTGGGAGGGGCAGCTGGGGGTTACGGAAAGGTTCTGCACCAGAGGGTGGTCGGGCACGGAACAGGATCCCCAGGGCAGTGCACATGGCCCCAAGATGCTGCAGTTCAGTGGGTGTTTGGACAGCACTCTCAGAAACATGCTTTGAATTTTGGTCAGTCCTGTGTGGAGCCAGGAGTTGAATTCAGTGACCCTTGTGGTTTCCTTCCAATTCAAGATGTTCTGAGATTCCATGATGTACTGGCTACCCCATTACATTTGCATTGCTTTTACTGAACTCCAGTACTTTGTTTCAGCCTTGTAGATTTGCTTTCCTTCTTATTATAATGTTTTGCTGAAAAAAAAGAGTTGCTTCTGTTTCAGCCACCGAAGTTAGATTAGCCAGCACTGAGAGTACTGAAATCCATAGTGTTTAGATGTCCCTGCAATGTCTGTAATTTCTCCCTGGATATCTTGTTTTCGGGTTAATGTAATATTCCCAACCAGAGCTGTTTTAACTTGCTACTTGTTTTCAGTAAGTCTGTCTAGACAGATTTGCTTCTTTCCCTGTCCATGTTTTTCTCCCCTAGAAAGGTAAATCTGACTTATTTGTGTCAGGAAATGTTCCAGTGCTTAGTCACAGCCTGATATTGAAAATACTTCATTTTCAACTTCAAGTAAAAATGAGATGTCTGCTGCTAGCTCTGGGTTAGGCTTTTGCTGTTTTGTTTTGTTTACAGGATATAACTGCATCAACTGCCTTTTTGGGCAGATCTTCATATTTTAAAACTAAGTCTTCTGTGTGTTAATGAATACTAGTACAGATCTTTCTCATCTTTTGCTTCTATCAAACAGGTATATTTCTTAGTGTGCAATGTTTTGTACAGAAACAGAGAAGAAATTTGTTTTCTTGTACATCTCGGGCTCCAGATACATCTTACAGTTGTTTTGAAGGCCTTGGAAAGAATAAAATAGGCAGCTACTGAGAAATCTGTAAACAGCTGAAAGACTAGAAGCAATTCAGAAGTACTTAAAAAGGCATTATTATGCAACGTTCATTCTGCTTGGTTATCGTTAAACCTTTACTTTCCACCTTACAGTACAGTTGCTACCTAGTTCCATCTTTCCATCACTTCTAATGGCCCAGTCAGCAGGCCCAGCACCGTTGCTCGGGAGAAATGTATTTCAGCTTTAATCAACTTCATTTTCTTTTCTGTGATGCCTGTGTTGAGGACACCTGCTTGTTTGAGAGGTTTCCCATGTGCTTTGTTTTCAGCCTTGCCTTCCGTTCACCGGGGTGCCTCACCTGCCCTCCAGGAGGCTTCTGAGGGCTCTGAAATGAGTCAAGAGAACAAGTCTTGTGCTGGAGCAGATTACCAGCCTCCTAGGAAATGCTAAGAAGTGAGCTTTCTGTCACAGCTGATTCACACTGACAAGCTGGGTGTTGTTGCCATGAGTGGCTCCCCTCCAGCAATGTTGTCATCCTAGAGCTCTTGAATGTGAAGACAAGCTACTGATGCAGAAGTCTGGAGGAGTGCCTAAGTAGTAGAATTTAAGACCATGCTATTGCAATGGATGCCACCAATTTGATTTAAATAATGTTTTTTGTTTGAAGTCACATCTGTCTGTCAGACACAGTGGTCCTGCATTGGAGACTGCTTTGTAAGCAGTAATTTTACTGTCCACTGTACGTCAGGAGTGAAAATGGATTCTACTTTCTAATCACGATATGCTTGGCAATACCCAACCTATAGTAGAGTAGTGTGCTGATTTGTGTAGCTGGTATGAACTTATTTGGTGAAATTGGGATAGATAAAATGAGGATTTGGGAGATAATTGTGTGTTGCCCAATGGTAACAGCCATGAGTTTGGGATACAGACTGTAAGAACTTATTTGTTTTAAGCATTGCATCCACAATAAATCTAGAAGTAAGGACTGGGAGATAACTATGTTTTGTTTTTTTCTTAGAGTAGGAAACCTGCATTAGGTTAGCTCACTTGACGAAGCTTACTTGTCCAGTGGGATATTCAGACCTCCAGCCTTTTATTTTTGTTCTGAGAAATGTGAGGTTCTGTGGTTTATCTGTTTGTAAGTCTTAGTTCAGGAAAGTAACAGATGAGGACCAGATCTGCTGCACTTCAGCGCTGCTTTGCAAAGTACCAAACTGAGTGAAACCCAAGTTGATTAATACAAACTTCAGGAACTGCTCAGCATTTGACTCTACAGAAACAAGGTTGTGGTTTGCTGGAAAAAGAAGCATCCTAGGTTCATAATGATAGTCTAAAGCAAGCGGTGACCCACAGGTGTTGACTTCTCTTGATTTTCCCTATTTGCTTGAACGTTTTAAGACTGCTAGTGGCTTTTAAGAAATTGGCACTCCTTCAAAATCTTTGAAACAAATCTCTACATGCCATCTCTTGTTGGGATTGATAGGGATTTTTAGGCTGTGAAAGCTAAGTAGCATTGAGAATATATATATATATATATATATGTGCATGTATATTTACTTTCTTTTAAGACTGAAAACTAGAGGCAGCTTTTAAATGCTGCAGCATTTTTTAATGCATATGACAGTAACTTTGAGTCCATCTTCCTTTGTGAAGAATGCTTTTTCCATTAGGCATTCCAGAATCTGGAAATTTTATTTCAGTCCTTCTGGGATATCGAACCGGCTGGATGGGCTCCTACATCTTGTTTTCACCAGCTCTTCAGAAGCTTGTTTTCATACTGTGCTTGTGTTTGTTCTTCTCTCCTTTACTCGCTGTTCTGTACAAGTCAGTGCCGCTCTCCGGTCTCACCAAGCGTTCTGAGAGTGTTCTGGTTGTCATCGCTGCTTCAGAAACTGGGACAGATAGTTCCTCCCCCAAGACCAGCACAAGTCCTGCCAGGCTGATTTTCTTCACGCTTTCTGTCTTCTCTGAGAGTGAAACCAATGTGATGCAGCAGGTGGCTTATCAGTCCGAGATAAAAAATACACTTCATCCTTACAATGTTAAAATCAGAGTTGCTAATTTGGAACACGCAGTAGCTTATGCCAGAACGTGTCCTTGCTCAGATACTTGCTGTATGAATATAAATTATATACATCTGTACTGAGTTATTAAAAATGAAATGCAATCCTTGCACAAAGCCATGAGCTGATACGCCCCATTCCCCTCCATCTTCTGTTGCTTTTGTTCTCTTCCTGCAGTGGTCTGTGGCAGCTGTCTACAGCAGCCACAAAGTGTGTAAATCCTGTGCTTCTGGAAAGGTGTGGGGAGAATAGTTTCTGAGGTGGCTCAAAGGTAAAAGAATAGAGTACAGGACTTGTGAATCTAAGGAACACATTAAAAATGGTGTTAGGGGTTGTTTTGTGGTAGTACTCGTAAAATTATGGTGACACTGTACCTATTTTCTGTTTGATTGGTTTGATTTCAGAAGAATATCATCTTGCGTGTATACTGTTCTCTGCAACCCTCCTTTGAAAAGCAAACAGCTTAGAAAGAACCTGCAGTTGACGCGGCTCCCAAAGCCTTCCCGTGTTTCCCACTTCTGCTCACGCTCAGCTCGTGGCAGCTAAAAGGTCCCGCAGTCACATCTTGGAGGAAAGCCAGGGCGCTCCCCCGCTGCTGTGCTCTGCTGCGCAGTGCTTGTCAAGCTACAGTGGAATGGTTAATATGTCCCATTCTTCTACCTCTCTTCCAACGTGTGACGTTCTGCTCTTAGCAAATCTGTAGAACGTCTGTAGATGGTCCATCTCAGCATTAAGCCGCGTAACACCGCAACCAGTGTCTTCTGGGTGCTTTTAACGCTGGTTTAAGGTGATGCCACGATTCTGCCATGTAACTATTGGGGCTCAGGGTGGGGGTGGTGGAAATGCCAGGTAAGAATTTTCCTGCATTTAAACTTGTGCTCGAGAAGCTACCTGGGGTGTAACTCCTTATGAATTAGTGTTATCTGACTCTTTGGTGGAATTCTTCACCCACTTGGTCAGTCTTGAATTCTTTACTGTACATGGATGTACACCCTATTTATGACTCCACCTGTTCCGTGCCCGCTCCCCATGCCCATGATATGTTCCCTCTGAAATACTGGCTTTGGCTTGGTTCTCTGAGTGTTTTGCAACTTGGATTGATTTATCTGGCACTGGGCACCTTACTGAACATGGACTTCATCTGCACTTAATGTTGTGATTCTTGGAAAGGGGGAGTGGGTGCACTCTGACACTGTTAACAGGAAGTTGTTTTTTTCTTTCCTATTTTTTTCTTTTCTGAAAGACTGGGAAGAAGGCGGTTAAAGCGGTCCTGTGGGTATCGGCGGATGGACTCCGAGTTGTAGATGAGAAAACAAAGGTTAGATTTCTCTTGACAAAAGTTCAGAGTTTCTCTATAATAACACGCGTGCCATAACTTTAACTAGACTCTAATCTCTATCTTAATGTAGATGTTGGTATCTGAAAGAAAGATTTAAGCATGTAGATGTTTAACCATTTCTTCCTTGGAATATGTATGTAAGCTTATTATTATTTTTGTTTATTAATGCCGGTACTCGATAAAATGAGGCAGGTAGCACAAGCTAGGAGCTGTCTTTGTTGCATTTGCCAGAAGAGCCATCTTTTCCCAACAACTTCTGTTGATGTTGAACTTGCAGTGACTTTTGTCCTGTATGACTGCAGAAGGATGTGAGAGTAATACATGAGAAAACTGATGTTGATCAGTATAATATCCAGTGCATCCAAATCCCACGTAAGTCTGAATGAACAAAATCTGGCTTCCAAAAATATAGTAAAGGGAATAAATAAAATAAGGTCATTTCCCTTAAACATCTCAAATTTTCTTCAATGGATATCAAATTTTCTAATTTTTAATTAGAAACTGTTGGTCTCAAGTGGAAGGCAGGTGTATCCATGGCTTCCTCTGGGATGTTTCGCAATGTTTTATTGTGAAATAGTGCAGTGTGTAGGTAAAAGCAAACAATTTGTGTGTTCATGCAAGTAATTAGAAAGGAGAGCTTAATGCTTATCTCTGTAGGTTACTAGCATTTTAGAAGATGCCACAGCTAGCGGAACAGTTTTTACTGTAACTAGTATAAAATGAATTAGTTTTATATTCATGTGACTTAATGCTTAGCTTAATGGCCTAAAAAAATGATTTCTGCTTGCCAACACTGAGGAGCAGGTAGAGAAAATGTCCCTCTGCAGTGTGGTAGTGTGATGAATAGCTGCTGTGGAGATCAACATCTCCAGGGCTGTTTTTGGGATGTGCTTTGGCAGCACTGAAGTTGCTGTCTGTAAAAATTCAGTATTTAATATGAACATACAGGAACGTACAGGTGAGTTCAGTCTGCTGATTGCCTTAAAAAGGCTAATAAGTACATGTATACATATGTAGAAATGTATTGAATGTGCATTATTAAATTATACATACCTATATTGGATTCGTAAAAATGAATTTTAGTAACTTTTTCAGACCGTAGAGGTAATGAAAGGAGTTGTACTTAAAAAGGGAATATGATATTGCCTCCTGGTGGTTGAACGCAGTAGCACAGGTGCCAAGGAGCAGACACGAACCGAAAAATACACTGACAAACATCGGGCAAGGAAAGGAATGAGGACAGCATCGTTATTAAACCATACTGCCTCCTCTTTAGATGCACCTCTCCCATCCGTTTGTGGAAACAAATTGGGGTGTTTGATAGTGCCAGCTCTGCTGGTGCTTTTCTATTCCATCCTTGCATTGCTTGGTGCCACACGAGCTGTTGCTTTTTGTGCAGCAGCTGCTAAGTCTTCTCACACAAGCAGACTTCTTCACAGTAAAGATTTTTTGATTGCTAGACTGCATTAAAAATAAAACCAAATTTCCTTTTTTCACCACCCTAGATCCACAGTCTGGAGCAGAGATGTTAGGAATTGTGCATGTCCCTGAATTCTGAACTGGCCACCTTGTCTGGCTTCTGCCAGGGATGGCTGGTGGAAGGTGGCAGCCATCCTTTTTGTTTCACACTGGGAATGGTTTCTGAAGAGCAAATTGACTTGATAGAGAATTGCAGCCAAATCAGCATAACTTCTTTGTAATATAAATGCATCCTGCAGTTACCACTGGAAATGATTGGTGCAATTGTTTCTCCACATATCCTCACATCTTTTTTTTTTTTTTGTGTGTGTGTGTGTGGGACTGGAATGGATTCTTTCCCCTCTAGGATCTTATAGTTGATCAGACAATAGAGAAGGTTTCTTTCTGCGCGCCAGACAGGAACTTTGACCGCGCGTTCTCATACATCTGCCGCGATGGCACCACCAGGCGCTGGATATGCCACTGCTTCATGGCTGTGAAGGACACGGTGAGTGCACTGCGAGGTGTGCCCAGCTCCTGCTGCTTCCAACTGGGAGTTACATGAGAAAATGAACACAGAACTCTGCAATGCATTTTAACGTCAGCTTAATACTACTTTTTCCTTAAAAATTATTTTAATTCTGATTCTTTATATCTGAATTATTTGCCGTTCCTCTATGATTTCTGCTCGTGCAGAGAAGCAGAACCCAGCATGGTATGTAAGTGGAATGCAGTCAGCCTCAGATATGGGTAGCAGAAGGGAAGCACTCTTCTAAAAATAGACAGAAGATGTTCTCATCTGAAGACGTACACAGCCAAAAACTGGAACAGCAGTGACAGTTTTTCCAGGATAAGATCATAGTGAATAGGGTATGAATAGCAGGCTGGGTATGAATGTAGTCTCTTGTATGCAAATGCTGTCTTGAATGGAAAGTCATCTGAGTGCTAAGGGCTGGAGCTAGAATGAATTACATTAGGGTCCTGTTTGCTTCTAAATGTTAAGACATTTTTGCAGTGGAAGGTTTGTAATATCAGTGTTTTGCTCTGTAGACCTAAATTATCTAACTTCCTGATCCAGCCTTCTCCTCTTGTGGTTTTTTGTTGAATCCTGCCCATGTATTACGCAAGGGCTTGAAACCCCATGCAAATCCACTGAGATAACTCCACATAGCCATGTGTTGAAAGCAATTATGTTTGTTAATTTATCATGTTTCTTTAAAGAGAAACTGTGAAGTTAAACATTCCCATTTAAACTCATGTCAGAGCTATGTTCTGCTGTGTATGCGGGTCAGTTCACTTACCAGTGATAACATATGGGTTGAGCTGTTGTAGTAATAGCACTTGTGACTCAGCTGCAGCCTCCAGATCAGCTGGAATGCCAGACTTCCTCCAACTTCAATTTCACTTCTTTACTGCAGTCATTGGGCAGTGGATCCTTTTGACCTCACTCGTTAATAGTGGAAGTGCCTTCTGGAAAGCACTCAATACTGATTTGCGCATTTGGTCAGAGCCATTAAGAGGTATTGGTGGTCAGCTCTGCTTTTAAATTTCACATTTGCACACAACCGTATTGCCTTCCTGCACGCTCTCTTCCATTTGAGAATAGCACTGATCTGTCCCTCAGGACTTAAACCTGCTAAGATGGCTCCACAAGCACTTTTTTTCTGCACAAACGCATCCAGAGGAGAGGAGGGATCAGTGCAGGTACGTTATCACACTGCTATCATGGTAGCAGCTAAGCTGAACAGTCTTTCGTTTCTGGAGGCCTTCATGCTTGTGCACTGGTAGTTGTGACCCTTTGTACATCATGTTTAGTTTTAGAGCTACACAAGGTGGCCAATTACAGTAGTTTTTTAATGTCTTAATTAGAGTCCTCTTGTAAAGGTGTTATCAGTTTGCAGTGCTTGAAGTACATCTGTTCCAGTCACCACATGATGCAGTGTTGTCCTGTGCAGGGGGAACGGTTGAGTCATGCCGTGGGCTGTGCGTTCGCAGCGTGCCTGGAGCGAAAGCAGAAGCGAGAGAAGGAGTGTGGAGTCACTGCCACTTTTGATGCCAGCAGAACCACATTCACTAGAGAGGGGTCATTCAGGGTCACTACAGCTACTGAACAAGCAGAAAGAGAGGAAGTTATGAGACAGATGCCGGATGCTAAAGGTAAGGGATGCAACGTACACAGCCGTCCCTGGTGAGCAGAACCAGCACTGGGACTGAAGTAGAGCCCCAGCTCCAGAATCCCTCTCTTGAACCCTGTTATGTACAAATCATATTTCCACACACCTGTCACTTTGCAAGATGAAAAATGCTCCCGGATTCACTTACAGGGTAATCTTCCCAATAAGGGAAGGCCAAAAGGCCTTATTAGAAACACATTACTAAAAATGTAAGCAGATCGCCACACTTTCTGTAGTCTGAAGATTATTGTAAATGAACAGAAAATTGTGTGGTTTTTTTTTTAAAAAGCAATGTACTCTTATTTTGGTTTTTAAGGCAGGTTGCAGAGTTTACATTAGTTACACTGCAGGAGGGAAGAAGAGGGCAATCGGTGTGCTTTCTAAAAATGGAAAAAACAACACAAATCACCAGAAGCCACCTTACGTTCAAAAATGGTAACAGGGTGATTGGAAAGGAGTGTTTTTTACTACTTAGTTGTTTAAAACTTGGAAGTGTTCTCAAATTCAGTTGAAAGTAGAACTTCTTACCCAGGTTTTGTTAAGTGATAGAGATAGCATTGTACAACTAGTAAAAAGATAAGTGTTATAATATTACCCATAGCTCTCTGTACAGTGCAGTTGGATTTTTCTTTCAGAGGGTTCCACAGCAAGTTTTGTTCTGCCACTCTTGCAAAACTTTAATCTTCGTTTTCATCATCCATCTGCTTGTTCCCATACGTTAGTTTTAGAATGTGTTAAATGAAGCTTAAACACAACGCCTTTGTTACTTGGGGGCATGAGTCAAAGTCTTGGCTCAGTGAAGGTGTGTGAAATCCTTTCCAAGGAAGACTGATTAGAAAAGTTTCACTTGAACGAGCAGCTGCAGCTCATGGGTACTGAAGCTTGCAAGACAACCTAATTAGTTCCTCTGATGGTTCCAGCTCCTCAAAAATGCCTACTGTGACTCTTCTTCTTCCAGACTTCTACTTATTCTGTTGATGCATCAACCAAAAACTAGTCACTGTTTTTTGTATGAAGTTTGGAAAGTCTTCAGAATGCGGCTGGTGCCCAGCAAGGCCTGTCAGCTCAGCGTCTGGCTCTGCCTTGCAGCACGCTTCCATCTCCGCAGTGCTTTCCCTGGAGTTGCTGGGGAGCTGCTGTTTGAGTGCTGAACGCCGCCGAACCTATTAAGCGCTCACTCTGGCCTGCTGGAGCTTGTGAGGGTTGTTTGGCTGCCGCTGCTGCTTCTGCAGGGCTGGGGGGGGACAGGGACTTTAAAAGAAGGTCCTAAAGCCGTTCTGTTCCCTGCAGCTGCTCTCAGCTACTGACTGCTGAGAACAATCAGTAGTAGTATTTTGGCCTTGATCTGTTTTTATAGTTATGTGGGAGGGGAAATAAAGGTCTCAAACACACAGTATACTTTTCAGTCTTAATCATAAATGAATTGCGGGTGTTTCCAGAGCAGTGTTCTCAGAAACTGTGAGGCCAACATAAGGCCATCATTTCTAGGAAGCAGCTGGCCTTCCTAAGCTGTGCTCTGGGGGCTGGGTGTATGTAAAGCGTGTGTGGTGAAGACTACGAAAGGAGAAAGAAAAGATTTTCCTGCAATGGTATTAGAAACCTTTTTGCTGGAATAGTACTGGTTATGCATTTTCTCTTTACAGGAGTTAAGGGCAGGCAGTTGAAAATACGTTGCTTTACTCTTCTAACCTCACCCTGTTTCCTCCAACAGCTGAAACAGAAGTGAAGACAGCAGCACCAGGTGCTGCCCCAACTACTACTGCCCCCTCTCCTGGCTCACCAGCTTCTCCTACTGCTGAAGTCGCTGCCTCTGTGGAGAAGGAAATGAGCAACCCCCACGCTATCCCACGGAGGCACGCCCCTATAGAACAGCTTGCCAGGCAAGGCTCTTTCAGGGGCTTCCCCGCCCTTAGTCAAAAGATGTCTCCTTTTAAGCGCCAGCTGTCCTTGCGAATAAATGAACTGCCTTCAACAGTGCAAAGGAAGACAGATTTCCCCATGAAAAACTCAGGTAAAACCAAATGGTGAAACATTACCTTAAGTTGCATCTTTCTCCTTTCCTTGTCTGTGGCTTCCAATAACGCAGTATTTTACAGTAAATTCTACTTGTGGAATATGCAAGAATTTCAAATGCAGTAGTCATAAGCAGAGGATAATCAGCTATAATAATTATCTGAAATACTGGAACAGAGCGTGAAGTGTGCAGGAACAAGTGGTGGTGTAACAGTAGGTACTGCTTTTCCCTCTGAGTCACTGATCCTGTTCCTCTGCCTAATGCCAGGGCAGCTAGAGAGTCAAGGCCTTACCCGCAGGCCGTGGGATCACTTGACATTTTTCGGCAGTCTGCACCTCTGCCCTTCTGAATTCTTCTTTTGAGAGGAATGAAACTACTTTTCACCTTTTGTTAAAGGAAACGTTACTGTTTGGGCAGTACAACTGTCTGTATCAGTAATGAGCGGGACGGTTTTCAGATGATGGAGTTGTGGTTTTGTAGTCATCCCAAAATAAACATCTGGGATGATCAGTACCTTGCATATCATTCTAGAATCCCTTTAGCCAGGTTATCCTGCAGGACAGCTGTACTCTCACTTGGCAGCAGAGCAAGTTAGGATTCTGAGTTTCAAAATTCAGATCTCTGTGGCAGAGAAGAGAACAACAAAAATACCTGATTTGATTGATCTTACAATACTTGTTTGGTGATCTGTGTGTTAAGACCAGCACTGAGTTTATCAGTTTAACAGTAACAGTGCACTGCTCACTGGAGCTAGGCTGGCTGAGCACAAACAGTCCGAATTCTTCCTGATTCAGAGCATTTGCTGCAGGTGCTGTATTGGAATATTCCTCAAATAATCAATTTTTGGGAATCCCCCTCCTTAAATTTTCCATGTCGTCCTTGCTGTATCAGCCATCCTATGGTTGTTACACTGTATACTGCTTAATTATGTCTGCCCAGTTCACTGCAAGGAAGAACTGATGATCAGTGTTTTTGAAGAGCAGTGCTGTTAGAAATAATGAGAACATCTGGTCGGTCAGTAGCCGCACTCCAAACGGTGCTTCATCTGCACTGTGCTGATGCTTGGCTTACAGCCGGGCGTCCATTTCACTCCAGCAAACAGCTTTCATTTCTCATAATTTTAACACGGGAGTCGGGGCTTTCAGCTGCCTCTGACCTGCAGCTAGTAACGCTCTGACTCCAGGCTTAACTAGCTGCTCTGTAGAGCTGGCAACATGGTTATCTTCATCTGGTTCCTGTGAAAGTATGTTGTTGGAAGAGTTAAGCCTATTCTATTTTCCTTTCTCAAAATGCCAAATATTAGTGCCAAATCCTTCATATTTTTAGCACTTAATGCAGAAAGATTTAGAACTCTGTTAAAGCTGTAGAAAACCTTTTATTTTCTGAACATTCTCTTGCATTAACACAGAGAAGCAGCAATAACCAACTTGAAATTTGGAACACTGATCTCTTACACTCTTGACTAAGTCACAAAATGCACTAATGGCTTTATGTTTGTTTTTACTGTCAGGTCTTAAGCACCCGATTTAAAAACCAAACCATAAAAGCTGTCATGCACATCAGTAGTAGCAACACCTAAGAGATAAATAAATCATGTTTCAATTTCTGTATGCCTTGAGCTTCATTTAACCCATTTTGTTGGCATTGCAGTCCCAGAGGTGGAAGGGGAAGTGGACAGCATTAGTGCCCTGTGCTCGCAGATCACCAGTGCGTTCAGCATGCCGTCGGAGGACCCTTTCTCTTCAGCACCCATGACAAAACCTGTGACAGTGGTTGCCCCACAGTCTCCTGCCTTTCAAGGTCTGTGATTTCTTTGCTTGCTGTGGTTGTGCTGGATGAGGCTTGAATGCATATAATGTTGCTTTCCAGTAACACATGGCCTTAATTTCTTGTGTAAGTCTTGTATCAGTATTTTGGAATAATGCATCTTGTTTTATTCATCCCGTCTGTTTAGTTTTTATGTGGTTTTGTTTTTAACAAGAAGTTCATGCACCTACCACACGATGGTTACCTGTAAATGGGACTGACTTTGAGATCATGGCTATTTCAGCCAGTCTGCCACCTGGGCTGCAAAAATCTAAACAGTGGTGTCACAGGAACTAAATCCTGCAAGGGAAGGAGATTTTGTGCCACTCGATCACCATTTTTCACACAAACTCCCAAATAAGATGTAGAGATCCAAACTGTAGCACGCTTGGTAGCCTCTAACCTTCATTCCACCAATGCAGTTTTATGCAAATAGTGTGGAAAAAGAACCTCTCCTTGTTAAATGTAGTGATTATTTTGCATCCAAAATCTGGTGTTCTTTGGAATCTAAATTTAATCACTCTGTAACTTCCTTCTGGTGAGCCAGATCTCTTGGCTATAAAAACCCAACAACTTTAACTTTAGTTATCAGCGCTGACGATCTCATCAACTAAATAAAAATCCACCATCCCACAAATGTGAACAAGAGTTGGCTTGGTGAAACGGAATTTATGTGCCTCATCAACTGTCAGTCCAGTTTGGCTAATTTACGCAAACTGCTGTCATGTGGAAGTGTTTAAAAGTGTTGTATGTTAATGGTTACGACATGGCCCACTAATACTCCAGTCATGTGCATGCCTTGCATGAATTAATTGCACTGATGTTGTCTGCTCCCATTTTAGTTAATGGCACTGCCTCAGCCTTCTGTGTGCTTGCTGCTAAACCATCCCAAGCTGCTGTAGTGTCCACAGCTATGCCAGTTCGTGAAACCAATCCCTGGGCTCATGCTCCTGCTGCTAATACTGGAGCTGCAGCCATGGTCTCTGGTAAGACTGGAAGTAGATCCTGTGCGTTGCTATGAGAGCTTGGATCAAAAGCGTAATTGAGCTCCTGAGACGCCTGTGTGTGCCACTTGATGAAAAGGGGAAGGAACAGGAACAAAAGCTGGAAGTAGTAGCCTTTTGCACAAGTGGATGGAGGGAAGCTATGAACTTGTAGGTTCTGGGTCTATAAGGGAGACCGTTTCTTATTTTGGCAGGGTTTTAGAAAAGCTGATGGTGTAAAAGGAAGCTATCTTGTTTTCATTAAAATAGCGCATGCTTGAGGATGAAGAGATCTGTACATGGACCTCCAAATGATTTCTGTGCATTGTTCCCAGCCAGAGAGAGATCACGTTCGGTACTTAAAAGCTTTAGAAATTAATTTCTTGTGTCTAGTAAGTTTTAGTTTGTCCCTTCAGTTGTCTTTGCCTACATTCATATCCAATGTGAGGTAGTAATTTACCACTGTAAAAACAACAGAGAACTGACAGTTTTAACTAGTTGAGACAGTTAGGCCAAAGGAAGAGTACTGAGCAGTTGTCCACTTCCTAAAAACTGAATAACTGCTTTTCTCATTACATTGAAGAGTTGGTGAGGTCCTATAGGAAGTGAAACAGGGAGAAAGAAGACTGCAGCATTCAACTAATGAAGGATGGTTTTGAAAGGGGGAGAGGAATGGAAATTATGGTATTTTTAATTTTTTTTTTTAAATCACTGAAGATAAATGAATTTAAATAGAGCTGTATTTATAACAGAAAAATCTGAATTGTTAGAAGTTGAGGATTGCAATACTTTGAAAGGGTTATCAGCCTGAGTTATAGTCTGGGACAGAAAAATGAATGTTGCCTTGAACTTCCTGCTTCCTGTACCATTACATGCCAGTACTATAAAAGGGTAAAGCCTGAATTTAGAAAATAAATAAGGAAAACAAAACTTAAAAACAGTTTCTTGAAGATTAATGTTCCAACAATCCACCATTCCTGAGCTGTGCGTTCAGAAACTGATACTCCCATGTTAAGAGTTAGAGACTAGATTGCTGCCACCGAGCAATAAAGGCCTGCCCAAATATCTCAGATGCCTGCTATTAAAAACAAACAGCAAAACAAAACAAATGCCCACAAAACAAAAATCTGCTCTGTAGTGATGAAACTTTTCCATCCCTTCTTGACCAGCATCTTCCCTAAAACAGGGCAGTGCACTGGATGCAAAAAGGCGCTTCTGCTATTAGCAGCGGTCTCAGCTGTGGAAGGAAGAGGCCCGGCTGCTGTTGTGCATCCTGCGGCCTGTCTCACTGATAAAAGGGTGAGGAACAGAACCACTGATGACTTCCCTGTGCTTTCCTCCCCAGGCACCGAGTGGAACAGCAGCACCCCAGGCACGGCCTCGCCAAGTCTCTTCCAAGGAAATCACAGACGTACTCCCTCGGAGGCAGACCGCTGGTTGGAAGAGGTCTCCAAGACTGTCCGTGCCCAGCAGCAGCCAGCCCCCGCCGCACAGCCGCCGCTGCAGCCCCCTCCGGCCGCTTCCCAGGCAGCAGCCGCCTACCCCGTGAGCACCTTCATTGCGCCTCAGCCCGTGCCGGTTGGCGTGGTGCCGCCCATGCAGCCACCCTTTATTCCAGCTCAGCCCTACGCCGTAGCAAACGGGATGACGTACGCGGCAGCCCCGAGCGTACCTGTGGTGGGAATCACACCTTCCCAGATGGTAGCCAACGTCTTCGGCACGGCGAGCCACGCTCCGGCTGCCCATCCGCACCAGTCGCCCAGCCTCGTCAAACAGCAGACGTTCCCTCAGTACGAGGCCGGCAGCGCTACGGCCAGCCCTTTCTTCAACCCGCCCGCGCAGCACAACGGCTCTGCGGCTTTCAATGGCGTTGACGGTGGCAAATGGGCTGCAGAGGACAAGCACCCCCAGCCTCCGGCGGCCGCCCCGCAGGTAGACCCGTTCGAAGCACAGTGGGCAGCACTGGAGAGCAAGGCAAAGCAGCGCACGAATCCCTCCCCGACCAACCCCTTCTCGAGTGATTTACAGAAGACATTTGAGATTGAACTTTAAGCGGCCCTGTAGATAAAGGGAGCAGAGGGGACTGTTTCTCATCTGTTTGCTTTGATAATCCCAAAGGTCCCTTCAAATGAAAAATGGGTTAGAAAGAGGGAGCGATGATGGGGAGGATATAAACGTACGCGGAATTTCGTGCGCAGTTCTCAAAATAAACCCTGGAGCCACCTCGGTCTGCATTCCCTCTTCACTTGGAAAGCTGGAAGTTACACAGCAGAGCTGGGCGCCCGGTCCTGCAGAAGCATCACGTATCTCAGAAAGGATGGCAGACCTCAGACCTGCGACCTTCCGAGGCCCCGTGAGTCCTGGATGTTCCCCCCCCCAGGGAAAAAGCAGAGTTGGGGTGGGGGAAGTAAGGAGGGAGGTTGTCACCTGTTCAGCAGAAGCTGGCTCTGTGGAAAAAGTTGAGCTTCCGTTTTGAGTAACAAAGTGAATATTATATGTAAAGACTAAAGTAAAGCCAAAATCTTTATTTTTATGCATTTAGAATATTTTAAATAGTGGATATTAAAAGATGTATGAGTTGTAAGTAATCTTGCCAAAGGTTTAAAAAAAAAAGGGGGGGGGGTGTGAATGTAAGAAATTGTACATAAGATTGATTTATCTCCAATTCTTATTGTAAGTAACGTTGGGGGGTGGAAAAGGGGCTCTAGCTTGTTCTTGTATCTGTTCATTGTAAGTAGCATATTGCAACAACAATCACAACCAATAAGTCATTATATTGTAGTTTTAAATAATGAAAATTAAAGAACAGTATTGTCATGGTCTGAAAACCATGGGGAAAATTAACTGTTTTTTTATTGGAATCAAGCTACATATTATATATAGTACATTTTTTTTTTCTTCCATGTATTGCTGCAGTTTTCTTGTCTTAATCTATTGGTTCTAACACTACTGTGACAAACTTACTGTAACCATATCTAACATCCTGGGGCTGCCTAGGAACCCATTTTTTGTTTGTCTGTCAATAGATCTTAGAGGTTTTTTTAACTTTTGTTTTTATTTTTTCCACGGATTTGTGAAACCTTGTGGTAAGGCTGCAGCTGGTCCAGGTTCTGCCTCTGGTGACTTGTGAAATCCATCTCATTTTAACTTTACTTTTAAACTTTGGCCTTACAAGCAAATGTAAGTTATATATATTTGTACTGATGATTTATAATCTGCTTTAACAGAAATAAATGTTGGTGGTAGAAGCACCGTCTGTGAAAGCTTTATTTCCCCTCTCCCCATTTGATTTTCAGGATTTGCCCTTCTGGCTCATGATATTTCAACACTTCCCATTTTGTACCCCACATTATGTTACCTTGAACTTTAAGACTGAACTTGCAAATGTCCATTTGACCTATAGCTGTTTAAAAGCTCTGCAAAGGAGGGTTTTATGGGAAATATTGGTTTCTGGGTTTGCAACACTGGATTTTCTAATATTGAACACTTACAAAGACAAAAACACAAACATTGAAAAACAGGTGAAAGGAATACTCACTTGGGCTTTCTTTTCCTTTGCTACTAAAAGGAGGATCCTAAGGGCTGCCCAGGATGACACCATATTTTCACTCCTTTCTGTTCTCCCAGGAAGCTGATACCCATCCTATCAGTGTGGTTGGTTTTTACTGCGTGCTTACGTGCATGGTGTGAGATATACTGAAAAATACCAAGTCAGACTTTGTAACCTGAAAGGAGAGAAATGCTGCCTTGCATCAGCCCTAGCATTTGAGCTTGCCAGCAGTTGCCATTTCCAGGCAAGTACAGAGGTGGGCTAGAAAATGGGGGCTTCTTTCTTTACCGGTTCTTTCTTACCTTAAGCACACCTGTGTGGAGTACAGCACCAGCAGCAATCCCCAGTACCCTGTGGTATTGGAGTTGGTACCTGTGCTTATTTGACTTTCAGAAAGCTAGCAAAGAGTCACATACGCTTAGAGATCTAATGTTGGTTGGGTCTGTGGTTTTTGTGGGTTTTTTTTTTCTCCTTTCTCCTACTAGTTCCTTGGTCTGTCAGAGCTGTGCCCAGAGATCAGATGGAAATAGCTACACCCTTCCTCTGCCTGGAAGATAAGGGTAAAGGGGATAGAATGACCTTCCAATGATCCTTTGTTTAGAGAAGAAAACCACTACCTTGATTCTCAAATAATATAAACATTTGATTAGGAGGTTAAGTGATACTACACAGAAGAAAATTCTCTGCTTGCCAAATACGAAAATGCAAACACACTGCTTTAGTTAACTAACTGTTAGAGCCATGATGTATTTGAAGCAACACACTGCCTTCAGATCCCATCCTTATTACCATGGTTACACATCTGAAAGGAGGTCAAGTAATAAATGAGAGAAAAAAAAAAAAAAAAAAGAACGTTCCTTCAGTGTTAAAAGTCCAGTCTGTCAGAACACAGATGCCCACTACAGCTCTCACCAGGTTGGAGACAGAGCTCCCTGACCATGCTGTGTCTAATCATACGGCCTAAATGAAAGCTGACTGCACTATTAGAAAACAGGGCCCCTGAAACAAAGAAAGGGATGGTATTACAGAAATGGCAGCTCATTCTGGGAGAAAGGCATCTGATACAGGCACCATCCACTTGGAACCACCTTCCTGGGGGGGGCTCACAGCCCCTTGCTGCCCTCTGTGCCTGCCACACAGGACTGAAATGTACACAGCCTCTCATCAGTCCATGGTCTCAAAAAGCAGAGTCGTACCACACAGTTAAAAAAAAAAAACAAAAAAGAAAAAAAAGCTTTTTAACTGTTTGTAGCCTCTTGTTCCTTTACTGGACTGCTTTTAGACTGTTCAGTTTGTTCAGATCTTAAAGCATTGTGTGCAGTACTGCACCCACACCTGTGCTGAAGAGAGGGCAATCATTAGGTTGGTAATTCTTATTTTTAGATGCAGCTGAACTGATTTACTGGATTTAGAGTTCAGACCAGCTTTAGGCTGCCAAGCCTGGGGATTTACACCCACATATTACTGCTGCCCTGAGTGCCAGTTCTGGACTGAAGGAGAGGAGAGTGGTGTGATCACAGTCCAGAATTAGCTTCCTTTCATAGAAGCCTTAAATTAGAGAAGCAGAACTAGGAAAAAAAATCAAAACACAACCTAAAAGCAACACACTAAAAAACACAAAGCTGTTGCAAAAAACAGCCCTTACTACCCACCTGCAAACATCAACATCAGCACTACACATCACTGTACCAGCAAAGAAGTATAGCTATATCTATACGTCCAATAAATGGTGCCAATTAATACCAGCAACCCACCCAAGACTCAGAAGGCAGTGCAGAATGAGGCTGCTTCTAGGGCTAGTGCTATGGAGAAAGAATATTGAGACTGTAGAAAAGCTTGGAAGGTCTAAGTCTGTTTCGAGTTACTGAAGTTGTGCCTTTGCTGGGTCAACAAACCATCCTATACTTACCATCTTACACACACACACCTTAATCCCCAGGGATTTCTCTTTCAGTGCCTCATGCATGCCAGCTGCCACTCTGTGTTCTGTATTAGTTCAGACAGGAAGGATGCTTTTTAGCTCTAACTGCTTTGCCTCTGTGTCTGGAAATCCCTGTTTGTTGGCACATAACAGCAAGAATCAGCCCTGGTCACATGCAGACCCAAGTGTTTCTGGAGCTTACTGACAACAGCAGATAATTGGGAAATTTATTCTAGCAAGACAAGTATCCCTACACCTATTTACGTGTTTATATTACTCTCCTCTCCAAGCTGATACCCAGCACAGTGCTAGCAAAAGCCCATACTTGCATGAAATTCAACAGCACGATTCTGGCTCTGGAAAAACCAAACTAACTTCATAATACTTCCCAGAGATACTGATGTTTAATCTGCATCATCTTAGAACATACTACAGTGTTGTTATGTTAATGATCCCTACCATTCAGAAAAGGCTAAATACATTTTTCCATTTTGTCCAAAGCTTTCTGTGGAGCATTGCTTTCTGCATTTCAATCTAGAGCTGAATACATTTAAGTGGAAACCAAACCGACCCAAAGATAAATTCTACTTAGGAGCGCTGTAATAAAACAGCTACACTATGTAGCTGCAGTAGGTGACATCACAGCTGCATCTCCAGAGCTGGCAATCTCACAGCACCTCAGTGCTAATTTTACATGCACCAAGCTGTTTGTCATGGTCAGATTCCTTTGCTCCTCAGCATTATAAATGTTCCTCTGTCAATAGTCCTGTTAAGACGGCTCTGGCCCATCTTAAGACACTTCAGCCTATGGTGCTTTTTTGAGCTATTCTCTTTTCCTTATATGAAGAATCTTTCATTCTGGTTATTTGCCCTCTCTAAAGTCATTTGGAGGGAGTATTCCCAGTGCTACCTCCTTCTGTGAAAAGCAGCAACTACCATTATGTGGAGATGGATGAGCTATTGCAAGGCATACAAGGAAGACATTGCAAGGAGTCAGAAGAAAGAAGTTTGCAATAAACCTGAGGATGGTGGTTCTCCCACCTTTTGGCAATTACACCCTACACCATTAAATCTGCCCTCTGGAGCTGCCAGAACAGTTTCGTACAGTAGAAGAACAGAGTTCAAAATTCTTGTCTTGTCACCTGCTGTTCCACACGGCCTTGGTGGTGTCTGTCACCCACTGCGATGAGGAGGGCTGTCGCGCGGCTGGTAGCGAGAGCAGCTGGCACAGCAGAAGCTGGCATAGTACTCGTTACTGCAGAGCTGGGCCTGCACGATCAGCCCACAGTTGGCGAGGTGCGGCTGGTCCACACATTCTCTGCTCGGGTCCACAACGTGATTCACAGTTGCTGCAGCCAAGTAAAAGGTAAAGCCAGCTGAAAACACAGCCGGGGCTTGCCTCCAGGTTTATCTTCCCCTCCCCAAAACCACAGCAGGTTCCCATTTTCTCCATCCTTCCAGTTCTAAGGGGAATTGTTTAATTACAGTCCAAATAAAGGACCAGAGAGAGAAAATGACAACTCTGGTTAGATAAAGAAAGAGAAGGCAGTTTCTGGGACTGACTCCCAGTGCCTTGGTGGGGGGCCGTTTCCACCACCCTGGTCTCACACCCACCCAGAGGCTCCTGCTGCTCCCCAAAGCCCGGGACTGGTGGTGGATGGGTGCATGATGGGCAGCCTTCTAGTAATGGCCAAGAGGCAGCAGCTCTGTGCCAGGAGAAGTGGGGAGGACAAGTTGTACTCACTGCTGGGCCTGCTCCTCAACACTTTCACCTCTGTGCTGGCACTGACAGAGTTGCTGCTGCTGTAGGCGCTGCATGTGTAGGATCCCTCGTCAGCCAACTGAACATTGCTTATGGTCAGGCTTCCATCCTGGGACAGGTGGACGCGGCGGCCATCTGCCCTCACTGGGACTCCATTTCTGTAATGAGAAGTGTTTTGTACCACCGTTCCCACTCCTGGTAACTAAAGGAGCTCTTTGTACTCTTTGGAATTGATGCTCTGTGAAAGGGGTAAATTAGTACAAATTCAGCACAAAGGAAGAAGTCTTCTTTTGCCATAACCTGGCTCTACAATTATGTAGGAATATGAGCCTGAGCAAGCCTACATTCATTAGTCCACTGCCACCGTGGGAGGTAGCTAGCTGTGTGCTCTGTATATGGTCTTTGTCCTTTCCAGTATGACACATTTTTGAGGTTTGAGGAACTAGAAGAAAAGCCACAGTGACTTTCCCTCTCTCCGGGTTGTGGTCTGGCAGTCTTGTTTGGCTGGCATTAGTAGCTTATGCACATTGCCTGATGAACATATGGGGTAGTGAGCAATGCAACCTTTTTCCCTTAAAAGCCTGTTTAGAAAAATGTTAAAATATCAGCAAGAACGTAACCATTCTGTTCTTCCTGGAATACTCTGTGCATGGCCAGAAAACTGCCTGAATTATGAACTTCTAGTTACCAAGGAAAGTAAACTTTGTTCACTGAAAAGAGTTTCATTCATAGCCTGATACTTCAATCATTTTGTTGACTCAAATACCAAACTTACATATGGAAGAATAGCTCTCTTTGTGAGATGGCCCGCTTCAGTCCAACCCCTTGGATCAGAGGGATTGAAACAATTGCCAATCCATGTCTATGGATCCTTTGCAAGAAAGCTCCAAAATTGAACTGATTATTTTCAAATGGAAAAAAAAAACCCACACCAAATCCACTAATACTCAGACAAATTTGGTTTAACTATTAAAATATCATCAGAAGACGACAACTTCTCTCTTACTGTTACCAA